CTCCCCCCCCCCCCCGTCGACAACATTTCCGGGAAAAATTTTTTAGGTGCCCTTTCCGATAGTAATGAGCCCCTACAAGCCGGTGCCCCCCCCAAACTCCAGGTGCTTCCTACGCCCCTGGTATCAAGGATGTTTAGCTTAATCTATCAAACAAATCTATGATCTATAGCCTACAATCAAACTAATATTTTCTGTCCAAACATAGCAACCATGCATTGAACTACACATTTAGTTGATAAAATTGAAGTTCAATTTTTTACAAAATGAATAGGAATGTTTTGAAATTTGTGCTCATCCACCGTTTAAGCTAAACGCCTTTGAAACAACTGGCTGCTGGTTATCTTAACCACTTGAGTGGCGATGCACCCTGATGCACCCTACTTTAGTATTCTACTCTGTCTAACGCCAGACGATTTTACTCGTCAAGGGGAGAGCGCTGGCGCTTAATGTGTTAACTGGCCTATCTGCCCATGTGTCTAGTTAACCCATTGAGTGGCGATGCACCCTGATGCACCCTACTTTAGTATTTTACTCTGTCTAACTCCAGACGATTTTACTAGTCAAGGGGAGAGCGCTTGCTCTTAATGGGTTAATATAAGCAAAATCTTGTTTTATCAAATTATCCATTGTTACAGTAGATGGCATGCAAAATAACAACACAGCATTGCCAAAATTTGTATTCTTGTTGGAATTTCCTGTATTGAGCACTTACTATATTTCACTCTGTCTAATAATTTGGAACTAATTTGATAAAGGAACATGGCAATAATGCCTCATAAAGGCCACATTATATTGTTTTGGTTCAGTTTTTTTATACACCATGTATAGGCCTTTAATTGGCAAAAGTACAATGGTGACAGTTTTGTAAATAAGTTAATATTGAGGAAGATAATTGTATAATGTTTTGATAGATATTTTCAACGTTAAATTTTATTAAAGTTAAAATATAAACTGGTTATAATATTAATACCTTGTATGCTATATTCACAATATTCCGAGGACTATAGTTGTTGTACAGGTTACAGGTATTTTCATCGCTTGTCAACTCGTAACTTGTTTTAGTCTTTCAGAAAGCAATGATATATCACAGAACACAAGAATTTATATGACAATTTCGATATATTTTTATTGAAAATGAAACAAAAATGTCAAGCAAACTTCGATTGTATCCATGCATGTGATTCATTGACTTTAATAGTAAGTTGTGCACTTCCGTGTGAGGTCGGGAATCTTCGAGTTAAGCCCTTCGAGTTAAGCACTTCGATTGTATCCATGCATGTGATTCATTGACTTTAATAGTAAGTTGTGCATTTCCGTGTGAGGTCGGGAATCTTCGAGTTAAGCCCTTCGAGTTAAGCACCTCGAGTTAAGCCCTTTTCGAGTTAAGCCCCGACCACTCCCTGTTTTGCCAAGACCACGCCCTTTTTCAAAAAGGGCTTAACTCGAAGAACGAAACACGATTTGGGTTATTCGAGTTAAGCCCCGGGGCTTAACTCGAAGTTTGACAAAAAAGTTGTTGCTCGAGTTAAGCCCCGACTTTTGAAGTATGTCAACGAGTACAATATTAAATTGTCAAATTTTCAATACAAAAAAGCCAAAGCACAGAAATGTTCTCAAAAAGAACTTATATATCGCTAATGTAATACGATTATCAAAAACAAACACAACTATTATCGTATTTTAGGTATATTTTAGGTTTTTCATATTAAATTAATATTAAATTTAACAACAGGTAATTACTTTTAGTGAATCGTTTATCCACAATAAAACAATATTTTAATTATAAAATAGATAGAATCCTAACTCGTTCCTTTTGCTTCAATGTGCAAAATATCGACAAATTAACAGTTTTACTGTAACAGGAAAGGTGCAACCTTCTCCCATCACCTTGAACAAAACTAATCTGTTAAGAAAATGATCGAAAATGACAGAATTTAAAAACTAAAGAAAAAGGGAGGAAAGGGAAGGAATTTCGGTATAGAATCTGTCTGTGACGACTTGCGCCCAGAGACTCGCGCCTCATACGCACATGCACAGTCATTTTATTAGCCAAATGGTTACAAATCACGAATGATTTCATTTGGGTAAACAAATTATCACGTGGAGAAATTGTTACATTTGAGTAACATACCCAAATGTAACAATTTATCCCCGTAATAATGGCGCTACGTTGACTTGTATTATTAAAAAGGGAATATTTGCTGAGCATTAGTAATTTTATGAACGAAATGGTGACGTAGCGCCATTATTACGGGGATAAATTTGGGTATTTTACTCAAATGTAACAATTTCTCCCCGTGATAATTTGCTGACACAAATGAAACCATTCGTGATTCATAACCATTCATTTGGCTGATAAAATTACTGTACATGTGCGCAGGGCTCTCAGTTTTAAGGAAATTTCCTTAAAACTGAGGAAAATATCAGTTTTTAAGGAGACTTTTAAGGAAATAGAATTTTTAAGGAATTTCTGAGGAATTTTTT